TAGCCGTTTTTCGCTACTTCCCTTAGAATTTTCTTTTTGATTATCAAGTATTAAGGATTCTATGAAATAGATTATAATAGCGGCAATTAATGAAAATAAGATTATAATAAAGGACGAAATAAAAGTTGGATTAAAGAAAGGAATGGAAGCGTAGTATATCGCTTGTTCTAGAAGTTAAAATGCACACAAACAAAATCAAACCCCGATGCCAAAGTCACAGTCAAAAAATGTAAGCTTCATATTTGTTGATATGACAGGGGTAGATATAATGTTGGGCATTTTGTAAGGATGAGAGTTATACACAGTCACAATATCGAACGACTATGTCTCAGGTGTATCTTGCACACCTTTCGCAATAATATCCACCAAAACCTCTGCTCTACCGATAGCTTGTAACTTGACAACAGCCCGAACTTCACCCACTTCTCTTGGTTGAAAACGTACCGGTAAGGTAACAGATGCATGCGGTTTTATTTGAACACTTGACAAAGGTATTGACAAATTGGGAATTGAGCCTGAGATATTTCCCATTACTTCACATTTGCACTTTATCCTTACGAGTTGATTTGAGGGATTATTTATATTAATTCCAACTGATCTACGTTTACCAATTCTGGTAGCAGGAATTTGAATTTCAGATTCGGAAACTTCAAAGTCCATCGTTCTCGATCCACTTTTTTTTGTATCAACCTTTATTTGACTAGATACATCCGCTCTTCCTTCGCCTTGAACGCGAACACTAACACCGCCCAATCCACCAGAACCTTCCGAGCTAATCGAATCCTCTAACATAAAACTTTGTGAATATGTGCCAATGAAAATAGGACGAAAGCTTATATCGACTCTTTCGGTTTGACCTGCTCGAAGTAATCCACTCGTTTTCATTATCAAGAAGACTTCATCATTTATTTTTTGGGCTGAATTGGTTGTGTCGGAACGACGCAGAAAAGGATTTGTTGCAGTAGTAAGATGCCAAGTAACTGGTTTATTGGTCGGATTATGAATACGAAATACGCTATGGTTCGTTTCCCGAATTACCGTTGTTGGACAACTGATATTACCAGGAACACCAATATATATAAAATTTTTACGTTGTGGGAGTTGCTTTCCGGGTTTGGACTCATCAGGTGTTCGTGAACGAATAGAAGGCGACGTATTTTGTCTATAAGTATCCGGTGTATTTGGTCGGCTACGAATTGATGTTGTAGATGCATATTTTCTCACTGTATGATTATACTTATTACTACCTTCTGGGCTGCTGGGACGACTGGTGGGCCCACTTGACATGCTCTTTTTGGGAACAGATAAACTCGCAGATTTGCTAGTGGACCCTATGGCCTTGCTTACAGATGTCTTTACTTTGTTATTGGTTGATCGTGATTTATCTTCGTCCTTATTATCCTTTTTCGTTCTTGCTCTTTTTGCGACTCTAAAAAGATTATCCATTTTTTGTGAGAAACTCCTTCGAAAGTTACCATCTTCTGAATCTTTCACATTTTTTGAAGATCGTGCTGCTTCAGTTTCACCCTTTGCTTTCTTTTTTACTTGCACAATGTCAACTACAACTTCTTTTCGTTCTCCATTTTCACAGAGTACCAATATCCTGGTTCTGCCCATCAAAGGCTTATTATTATTGTCAATTGTTTCTGATCCTTTAAGGATTCCCATTAATTTTCTTGAATCTTTGGTCTCGTCATGTCGTGAACCTGCAGAAAAGTGCTTATTCATAACTGAAATTTTAACGACAGTCACGCCTTGAGCTTTAACAACACCATATGCCGGGCTAACGTCAAATCGGAACGCAGGCCATAGTATTTCATATCAGAAAGGTTCATTTGTATTGTTGGAAATTGTAAATGTGGTCTCAAATAATGGTTTAGCATTATGTTTTGCTAATGAACTACTACTTGGGTTACTTCGAAGTGGGAGCGAGGCAGATGATGCGTTAGGACTGGCTGCATTTACTGATGGGCCTCCAACTACCGTTAAATATTCTGGTGAAACTCTCATTCCGTGTGGTTCTTCAACAACCTCTTCAATGATCTGTCGATTCAATACATTCATGGATGTAGGTGACAAATTTTTCTTCTCCTCCGTACAAGGTTCCGTAAGATCCACTTCTTCGCTCGACCAGATGCCAATTTCCTCATCTTCATCCTCCTCATTAATTGTTTCTAGTGTCTCTTCCAATACTTGCACCGTTGTCGATTTTTTAGAATCGGATATGTCGCTCACAGGTGATTGTAATGGACCATGCGACTCTTTTATAGGACTCGTCAGTCCAAATTTTCTACCTAATATACTTGGACTGCGACGTTGATGATATTTTCTTAATTGTCCTAACGTCTTTTTTGCCCATAGATTCCCTACCTTTCCTATATGATCTGCTGGATTATCCTCAGATATAGGACTTTGTGGTTCTTTATGTTTTTCCCGAGCAGGACTAAAAGGTCTTTTTGGCCATCGCCACGATGCCATTGATTTAGCAGATGAAGGGGTAGTTGATGCCATTGATATAGATGGTGTTATTGGCGCGGATGGAAATGGTGATATGTCCGATTGATCAGAAAGTGACCTTATTAACCCTTGTCTGGCATTTGTACTAGATGATTCTGCTTCTTCTTCTTCATCATCTTCGGTCTCTGACAGCATTGGTAATGGGGTATTAACTGTCAACATAGGAGTTGCAGTTCTTCTAGCTTGTATTGAAGGAAACAGGCGACGTGTGATTTTTGCACCAGTCGATTTTTTTATGGGCTCTGACTTAGGTTCTTCTAAATGTGTTTCCTTTGAAAACATTGTCCGTATTTTGCGAGTACTAGTGTTTTTTATTAATTCTGGCTGTTTTTGCTCTAACTGTTCTGGTTCTTCTGACTCTTCTTCTATTCCTCCTAATTTCGATGTAAAAGACCCAGATAGCCGTTTTTCGCTACTTCCCTTTGAATTTTCTTTTTGATTATCAAGTATTAAGGATTCTTTTTTATCATCTTGTACCCATTCAGACACAGAATGTGTATCTTTTGGTATGACGCTTAATCCCATGCTCTCATGGACAAACGGCTTATTTGCACTGCCAAAATTGTTTTTACTGGATGATAGCATCGGTTGAGTCGTTTCTAATGGTTGAGCACTTTCAAGTAAAGGTGATATTTCATTGTCACTTTGCTGCAATTCTCCAAGGCGTGTACTTTTTGTCGAGACTTTTCCTGAAGGTAAAATATCATGTATGTAATTTTGAGACTCTTCTTGTTCATTTGTTTTTTTTTTAGGTTTTTTTGGATCCTCCGGTTCGGTTGCTTCCTTTTCTTCATCTTTCATTTCATCCTCCACGTCCTCACTTATTACGTTTAACCCTGGTTTCGAATGTATAGGTGAGG